CCCGCCCACCCGCCGCGCGGCCCCGCCCACTCCTCTTCGCACGACTCTTCGGCCCCGGAGCGCGCGAGCAGGGAAACTCCGGCGCGGCCCCACCCCGCGCTCGGCCGGACCCCGCCTCCTGCCCGCGTCCCTCGCGGTCCTAGAGCCCGAGTGCCGGCAGAGCCCTGGCGGCGAGTGGACTCGGGGGGAGCGGGGGAACGGGAGGAGGGGGGGTCGTCCTCTCGCTGCACGGGCTGCGGCGACCTGGGTAAGTCCGGGAAAGGACTGACCCGCAGCCTCCACTAAGGGTGAGAGGACAGCTGGTCCCCACTCCCCAAATAGAAAACGGACGTGATGATCTGGATAATTCTGGGTGGGGTGGGAGGAAACCTGCTTCTGTACGTTTGAAATAACCGGGCAATCCAACATCCCAAGCATTTAACAAAATGTCAGGTAGTCTGTCTCTTTCACATATAGTGGGTGAATCACCTGGGTCAAAACACCATAACTTAGCAAAAGGTAATTAAAAATGAAACTATATATTTAGCTCCTTGAATTAGGAAGAAAGATAAGTAATGGGGAAAGGGGGCCAAGCAGCTTTCCCGCCTCCCTGCTGGCCATAAATTTAGAATATGTTTATAAATATAGTACCTAAATATATTTGTTCTGAAAGTTGAGTTGCAAAACAGGGAAGATCTCAACCCAACACCGATGATGATGTTACCATAGACAAGAAGTCTCCTGAGTGAAAAAAATGTCCTGTGAGAAATACTTAAGCAGGGTCAGTTAGGGGTAGAGTTCCTCTTTTCTACTTTTATAAAATACATCGTTGCATCCTGTTCTTCATGTCAGGAAGCTCAGTTTTATTTCTTCCTATTTGAGAAAGTAGTTCAAGTTAGAATAATTTTATTATATTGGAAAGCTTGTAATACTTCCCAATTGGTGAGCTGCAGTGATGGGGTGCTTTTTGGGTTCCCCCATTTCAGTGTGGCTGAAGGCCTGAATTCAGATGAAGCTCCAAAATCAGATATGCCTTACCCAATAGGTTCAAAGCATTCGAAGCACAAACAAAGCAAACAAAATTTAGGTGCAAAACAGACTTCTGGTACATGAATGCTGTTTCCATAGTGATTTTCATTATAAGCTTGCTTGGGGAAAAAATTGCAAATAGAATATAGCCAAGTCCCATAGTAGCTGGCCTGGTTCTCCAGGCACCTACCTCCATGGAAGCTGGGGCCCTCCCTCTTTGCCCTGATACCCAAGCCAATGGCTAGGACCCTGCTTTTCACCACCACACATTCAGGATCTTGGAGTGCTTGCCTCCCTGTCTCCCTGCCTAAGACTTGGAAGTGTCACCCACCTGAATTCTTTCTATGTTCTATTCTGCTTAGACCCCCAGGGCCTACCAGTGTCACCATGCTCCCAGACCCTGTCCTGCGTATTTCGGTAAATGCCTATTGTAATCCTGCCCTCCCCTTCTACTATTCTGTTCCAGGAAACAGGTCTGATGTGCCAGAATTTGAGCCCTGCCTCCATCTACGCTGTCCACCAACATGCCTCTTTGTCCATGAATCCTAAAATGTCACAGGAACAGAAGCCTCCAGCTTTACACATAATTTTACATAAGAACAGGACTTTTAAAAAATGGATTCCTGGTAGAATTATCAAGAGTTGTGTCTAGGTGATGTCATAACCGTCTAAATTCAGAAGGGATGCCGTAGATCCGAACTGCAGAACTTCACGATGACTTGTCTCCCCAGCCTGAAGTTTATCGGAGAGGCACAGATATAAAAAGAGATTCTTCTATGTGCTAAGCACAGCAACAGGGTGTTTTTTAACAATATGTAATACAGTTAAGATTGGACGGAGGGTTCCTGGGTGGCTCAGTCGGTTAAGAGTCTGCCTTCAGCTCAGGTCATGATCCCAGGGTTCTGGGCTCCCTACTTAGCAGGGAGTCTGCTTCTCCCTCTCCCTCTTCCTCCGTGTTCTCTCTCTCTCTCACACGCATGTAAATAAATAAATAAATAAATAAATAAATAAATATTTAAAAAAAAAAAGATTTGACTGAAACACAACCCTTTTGTACCCAGAGCTTAGAAGGGGTCATCTGGGTTTAG